TATTAGGATTAGATTCAGTCAAATGTTCAAGTTGAAAAGTGGGACTTGTTTCTTTGATTAATTTATAAGTAAACAAAGGAGTATCAGATTTTTCTAAGTTACTACCACCTTTAAACGACTTTTGCATAGAAAATAAGAATGAAATAAATAATAATTTTTATTTGAAGTTTAAATAAACAAATTGAAAACAGAAAACATTAATAATTATTTTATTTGTTCGACAATTAATACAGAAGATGGATATAACTTAACTTCTGTTAACAATGTATTTTCATCCATTAAATCAATTCTTCTTCTTGGTAAGTTTCCCCAAATAATTATGTTTTTTTCATTAAACTCATTACGAATTATTTCTAAAACATCCCCAACAGTATAATTTTCATAAATTTCTATGATTTTTGTTTGTTTATTTAGGGTAATTTTAATCTTTCCTGGTTTCCCTTCTTTAGGTTTATTATATACAGAAACTTTGTGAATACATGGTTTAAGTTCTTGAGTTGGTTGCTGTATTTTAAGTTGAGGATTGTTTTGATTAACTGGGTCAACAACATCTTGTGACTTTTTTAAACTTGTTTTCTTTGATTCTGAAAGAAGAGAATCATCAATTTCAATAATGTTTGTTATTTTAGATGTTGTGGTATCATTCTTTAATTGAGAAGGTTTCTTATTTGCACCAAAACAAATTAAATCACTATTATCTTCTGAAGAAGAATCAGAAGAAATTTCACAAATATTATCAGTTTTTCGTTTTATTTCCTCTTTGTTTGGATATTCATATACCCTTATTATATCTTTAAGTTTTAGACTTAATTCTTTTTCATCTCTTGCTGTTATTAGTTCAAGTAATTCTCCAGTAATTGGGTTATGTAATGCAATACTAGGCATTTTTATTTTGTATCGTGTTACATAGTCATCACATGTTTTTATTGAAGAAAGGCCAGTTGTTGATGTTGAATAGTTATTAGCAATTGCAGTTAGTGGTACCCATAATATGTAATTTCTAGCCATTTGCCATCTAACAGATGAGCTTTTCCAAACATCTCTAATGAATGTTAAGCATTCTAAATCATTTTCTTTAAAAACATATGCTAATATCCATTTATTTTCTTTTTCAGCTCGTTCACAAGCTGCTCCAAAATCACCAAGGACTGATGATTCGCTTAATGGTACAAATTGTTGGTAATTAGTAATTTTTCCTTCTGCTTCATCTTTAAAGTTTCTAAACATAAAAGTATTTGACTCAGTTGATGTGGGTGTCGTCAGTTGTGTTATCTTTATTTTTTCAGGAGCAAGGTAATTTTCATCTCCTTTAAGAGCTATTTCTTCATTTTCTAAATAAGCATTAACACTAGTTTCCAAATTTCCATTACAATTGTCTAAATATAATTTTGCGTATTCTTCAGGAGCGCCAGTGAGTTCTATAAATTGTTGAACTTTTGTTGGGAGATTCATTGATTTGTTAGTTTTTGAAGTATTTTGAGTTTTTCATTCAAAAAAAAAAACAAAGAGAAAAATTAAAGAAAAAAGAGATTAATGAAGGTTTTGTTGGTATTTGTATGTTCTATTATAAGTGTTGACAGGTTGTTTTGTTGTTTGTTGTGTTATAACAGTTTTTTGTTTACTTATATCAGTTGTTATACTATTTTGTTTTAGTTCAACACCTTTAATTTTTTGACTTTCTTGTTTAAGAGGGGTTGGTGATGGAGGTTGAGGTAACGACTTAGGTTGGTGTGTTTGGTTTGGTTGAGGAAGTGGTTTAGTTTTTGGAGGCAATCGTTTTCGATTAGTTTTCTGTTGTAATATTCCAAGAACATCAGCATCAGTAGACCTCATAATTTTTGTTGTTCTTTTTAATACTCGAGACTTTCTATACACTAAATTATCAACATCATTTGGAAATATTTCATTAAAATGGGTAATAATTTCTGAAAGCACATTGATTCCTTTTGTTAAAAGAATAGTATCTGCGTCATCAAAAGTAAGAACTGAAGGTGTTAAACAAACAGCAATATTCTTTGAATTCATTAAATTAATATCTTCATAAGCAGATATTTTATAAGACAATTTCATAATATACTTAAATAAAGTAAGATGTTCAACTGGTAATGAAGTTATTACTGATTTAATTCCATGAATACCATTTGAAGTATAATTATTAATAAGACTATTTGTTTGTTGTTTATCAATAACATGTGTTGGTAAATCTCTCAAAAACCTTTTAAAAACTGCTGCAACTAAATCTGGTTGAAGGTCTTCAAATGAAGTTATTGCCATTCTAAGATACAACTCATCAATTTGATGTTTATTACCTGTTGTTATTTCTCTGAATATTCCAGGAACAGTAAATCCTTTATCATAAAGATAATTATAAATTGATTCTACTGCAATTGGTAATTGATTTTTTGTTCTTTGTTCAGCTACAAGAATTGATTCAATTGTTTTATTACAATATAATGCAGATGGTTGACTATTTTGAATTACATATTGTTGTTTTAACTATTAGTTAAATTAATGTTATGAACATTAGTTTTTATACAAACAACAAACCTCTTGTGCATTTGAAATTAATATGTTCATTGCTTCATTCTCATTAAAATAAACACTTCCTGCATCAAACATCATTACAAATTGATGAATATAATTGTTATAAGTTAATGGATTATTCCATGCTATCATTTTTTCAAGTTGGTAATATTTTTGAATGACTATTTCTTCATTTTCATCAGTAAGATGATTTTTAACATCACTTATTTGTTTAAATATTGGTTTAAATGTAATTTCTTCAATACACCTAAGGTTTTTGCTCGTAGTAAGAAAAATGTTCATCATTAAAGTTAAAGACTCTCCAATAATATTTGTTTCTTGCTGACCTATTTAATAAGAAATTTATTATTTAATCAATAATAATAATCAAACATAACCAAACCCATTCCACTACATTCCCAATGTTCTTTTAAATACCTCACTTCTCCATCAATTAACTCAACAAATTTATTTAAAATTTTATTTGTTGATTGAAAGAATTTTTGTTGTTTTTGCCAATATCCATCAATTTGTTGAATGTTCTTTCTCTTTTCATCATTCATCAATATACTTTCTTTTATGTCACTAGTAGCTTTTTTAAAACCTTTCCAAGCATTTGTTGACATATTGTTATTAATTTTTATATCTAAATTTTGAGTTTGAATTATCGTTAAAAATATATTTTTATATTTGCTAAAAATTTACTCTTTTTCTGTTTACTAGCTACTTAAAATTAATACAATAAGTATTTCTTCTCTTTTTTGTATTTTTTTAAATGTATTATAACATAATCTCTCTTAAAAATGAAGAACCCAATATTTTATTAGTTTAAGACAATAAATTATTTATTGTATTTAAGTATAGAATTGAATATGTACTTTTTTATCGATTTACAGTCTATTTTGATTCATTTATCTTATTTATTTTTAAAAAGTCTTTTAATATATGTTATTTTAAGAAATATGTCTCTTATGTTAAAAAGTTATTCATTATTTTGGTTATTGTTTTTTTTAACCAAATTTAATTGGTTAAATTTATATTTCCTCATTACTTGTTGGTATTAGAAATAAACTTTATGAAGAAAAGAATTGCATTATGAATGAATTATTTTATTTTAAAGAGTATGAATGATTTAATAAAATGAATATATTTCATTGCATAATTTCCATAAACAAAACAGACTTTTTTTTGTTAAATAATTTATGAATGATTCTTTAATTAAAGTTATTGCCTATTTTTCTTTCCTTTCAATTTGAAAGAAAAAAAGAATTTTTAAATCAAAAAACTAATAATTTAATTAATGTTACCAATACCAAGGTATCCAATTCAACCACAACAACCTAATGTTTCAGTGGCACATCCTGGATATGAACA